TACTAACCCACGAGAGAGATACACTGCTGGTAGATACATGAACGAATTGAAAGGTTACGAATTAGAATCAAATTTAATGAGTATTTTCGCAAAATTGAGAAATACGGATCAATTTTGGCGACAACCGTCCAATAATGTAAAATGCATGACTTTGCATTACGGTCCAGCGACGTGGTTTTTGACTTTGAGTCCTAGTAAATGGAAATGGTCCGATTTGGGTGAATATTTACGAGATATGAATCCCGATAAAGATAAGTTAGGCATCAGCGAACTAGTCGCATACGATCCTGTAAGTACTTCTAGATTCATGTGCATAAAATTCAAAGCCATGATTGATTTTATTTGTTCGTCCGATAATCCAATAGGAAAGGTTATTCATTACTTCTAGCGACTGGAATATCAAAGTAGAGGTATTCAGCACATGCATTGTATGATTTGGATAAAAGATGCTCCAGTAATAGGAAAATCGCTGGATGAAGAAGTTGCTACGTTTATTCGAAAATACGTAACGTGTGAAATTCCAGATGAAAATGTTTCGCCAACGTTGTACGATACGGTAATAAGTGATCAGAATCATAAACATAACTCGTATTGCATGCGTACAAAAAAAACGGAAACTAATATATACAGAAAGTGTCGGTTCGATTTTCCTCGGCCAGTTACTGAGAATTTCGTTTTAAGAGACGTTATCACTTTGATAGTCGGTAGAAAAAATTTACGCAGTAAGAGCAGATTGTACGATCTTCCTCGCAAGGAGTCGGAAAGGTTTATAAATGATTATAATCCGGCTATCAAATTAGCCTGGGAGGGAAATATGGACATACAATTTATTAGAGAAAAATCAGAGTTTTAAAACTCATATTTAACAAAATACACGACAAAGTCGGAAAAATGCAATACAGACTTTGAAGTGATAGATTCGAATAAGTCCTTGGCATCGAAACTGTGGAATTTTGCAATGCATTCATTAAATAACAGAGAATGCGGTGCTTTAGAAGCTGCGGATACACTATTAGGGAATCCCTTGTACGGTACGGATAATGATACCATGGTCAAATGGATCGATGTTAATGAGGTGAGAAATAGAAAAGTTAAAACATTTAATGAAATTTAAGCTCTCGATGAAAATTCTACGAATATTTACTGTTCGTCACTCATCGATGATTACTATCCAAATAGACCTCAGGAATTAGAATCATTGAATTTGTACGATTTTGCCAGATTCTGGGAAATTACGAAACAGATGTCAAATAATGACGAAGTCAAGTGTTACAATCTGGCATCGGGTTTATTTTTAAAAAAACGAAAAAAGGGTTATTTAATTAACCATTATCGATTTAATATAAAAACTGAGCCCGAAAAATACTTTTACTCGCTGCTTCTTTTGTTCAAACCATGGAGAGATTTGAGTGAACTCAAAGGTACATTCGAGACTTACACGGATGCCTTTAAGAATTCAGAGTCTGTTTTAACGAAGGCAATGAAATATCACGAAAGGCTCGAAGAAATACAGAAAGCTTTTGAGAACGTTGCTGAAATAATCGAGAAGCGCGAAAATGATCTGAAAACAGCAGACAGAGACAAATCCGATGACGATGAACTGGATTGTAATCCGATAGAAGCTGACGACGTGATGAAAGATCTGGAAGATTTTGGTAAGATTGACGACCCGATTGATTTATCGCAAATGATGTCGCAATTGAACAAAGACCAGAAAAGAGTCTTTGATGGAGTATGCCAAGTTTTACAAGATAAAAATCAGATTCTGCGACTGTACGTAAGTGGCGAGGGTGGTGCAGGGAAAAGTTTTCTAATTGAAACAATTAAACATTGGATCAGAATAAATTTGGAAAAAACGACTGCCATATCTGCTCCCACGGGTATCGCAGCATTCAATATCGATGGCTTGACAATCCATAGAATGTTTCAACTACCGGTTAGTCATGAATCTACACCAAAATATACGCAATTGTCGGACATGGTCTTGAAAACTTTGAAAGACAAATTAAAGAATGTCGAATTATTTATAATCGAAAGAATTACATGTAACAATGCAATGATGGATTTAGGAACGACTGTATTCAGTGATGGTCAAGCCTATGTAGGTTTGTCACGAGTAAGTAAATTGGAAGGCCTACATTTGATAAATTTCAATCCAGCATCAGTTAAAGCAAACGAGAGCCATTGTAGAATATAATCGACTGAGATCTATATTCAAATCTGAACTGCCACAAATCAATCCGTCCGAGAAAAAGGTTGTGAAAATGTACGATTGTCGATGGGATATCCCTAATATCATTGATGATATGCAGAATTATGATTGTGAGGAACCAGAAAGTATAGTTACGTGGAAAATATATGGCCTTTGCAATAATGATGCTGTTTCGTGTTACGCTAATGTAATATTACAATGTGCGTTTCATTGCGTACGCATTAGGCAACAAATACTGAAAAATAAAGCATCGAATGCATTGATTGATGCTATCTGCGCGTATGGTGAACGTAAATATTGCAACATTCAAGCGGTTAGAAGATCTGTCGGAAAACGCTTCGAAGAACGAACACAACAAGATGTTTCGGAATTTTTTACGGCTCTAATGTCGACGTATTCCGACATCAATAATGTATTAAAACTCGAATTAAAGCACGTAACATGTTGCTCGAATGTCAAATGTAATTACAATGTATTGTAACTAAGCTGGAAAGCAGTAGTTTGTTAATATTACCTATACATTCGACATTAAAAAGGAAAAAAGGTGTCACTCTACAAAGTTTGATTAATGTAGAATTTTCTAAATGGGAAACGATAAACGGCAATTGTAACGAATGTAAGGGCACCGTGTTGAAAAAGAAAACCGTAATCGAATCAACTTTATCCGTCGTAGTAATACAGCTCAATTTATATACTTTTGTAAACGGTGCTTCTAAAAAAATTATCAACAATCGGATTACCGCCGTGCCGACGAGTAATATCACGATTAATAAAAAAAGTACAAGCTAATAAGCGCTATATTTCACGAAGATGAAAAAATGAATCGTGGTCACTACACGTGTATGTTGAGAGCTGACACAAAATCGGAATGGTATTACTCTAATGATATGGAAGTGTTCAAGAAAAAATGGCCCAAAGGAGCACAAGGAGCATACATATTGTTCTTAGAACAGATTAAATAATGGCGCTGTATAAAGACTGCCGTAAACGCTACATTAAAACATCAACTGTTCTAGCGCTGTATAAAAGTTGCCGTAAGCGCCAAAATAAAATATCGGCTGCTCTGACGCTTTATAAAAGCTGCTGTAAGCGCTGCATTAAAACGAGTGCAATAAGTTTCTAATTTGACCTAGGCTTCATGACATTTCAAGAAGTATCATCAAGAAAAAAATTATCAGACAGAAATATGTATGTCGTGTTAAAATCGGAGAGACGAAGAAAAATATATGGTTGCGTTCTCACGAGAATGGGCGATGGAGGGGCCCATTCCTTATTTTCAATATTCATACAAGAATATAAATTCATTCTGTTGCAATTGAAATAAATGTGCAATGTATCGTTAAAAGTTATTACAATTATACAAACATTTACATATATGATTAAATAAAATATTATATGTATACTATAATATAATTATATATTTTATATATGTACATATATACCATATATTTCAATTATTTTGAACTGTATTGCATAAATTGTTACTTATACAAAGTTATGTGATAAAAATCGAAAATACATATATTTGTGATACTTGAATTACTAGAAAGCTGCTCTATATATCTGTACTTTAAAAAGTAAGTGATATCCTAAAAAAATCATAAAAATGAAAAGTTCAGGCCATGTTCAAAAGAAGGTACTCAAAAATTTATACGATCCAATAATAAATTATCACGAAAAGTAACTGATATGTTATTCAAGGTGCCAGTTCAAAGTGAACATACGTAAAGTGTATATTATCTAAATTTAGTAATAATATATTATCATGAAAAGTAACTGTAATATTTTATTCAAGGTGCAAGTTCACATTGAATATACATACATATAAGTAAAACTGATTACAATTTGATTCTAGAAAATAAGTGCGATATGTTATTCTTAGTGCACAAAATATAATAGTCGTTTATAGAGATTTGATTTGAAATTCATACTAGCCCGTACAATGAAAAATAATTGCTCGTAATTCCAGAGTACTAATTTGTTAATGACTCAGAAAAATAACATGGCGGCCTGCTCTCAAAAAACTATGATGTTTCTCGATGTCCATTTAGAAATAATGTCGAAGCTCTTACAGAATAATTACTACAACATTTGAAATACGAAAAGTATTACATTAGAAGAAGATTAGATTAGAATAAGGATTCAACGTATTTTTAAAAGCTCTACACACAACGAAGTGAATATACAAAACTATATACAAATACCTTTTTCTTAGTCAAAATATGTCAAGATATGTCAAAATCAACAAATTTTCTCTCTAGATCAATGCGCTCGCGTGTTCAATTCTGAATTGGCTACATTGCCTCTAAAATTGTTGGCGACATATTATTGGCCTAGTTACATATGGCAATAATCATTTGAAATACGCCACTTCAATCTAATATTCAGTGATATTAACACTTTTCTATGATTTATAAACATTGAAATTGAAGTCACATTAATTGAATCTATAGAAAAATTGTGTCATTTAGTAAATTTGAATCAATTTAATGATATAATGAAATTGACACGTGGCAATTGAAATATACAGCGCATATGTTCTGCGCAGTGCGCGCGTGCTCAACCAGGTTGGCAGCTTGCTTGCTATACGCTGGCAACTGTTTATTGGCTGGCGAGGAAAACCGCGAATTTATGAATTATATAATAGTTATATTATAAACTTTATACAGCTATATTAGTCATTATTGTTCTGATCTAACAAACAATTGATCAACCAATCAGTGTGAATAGTTAAACTTGGATTATATATAATTAGTGCTTGTATTTACAAAATAAGGAGACTGTGTAATTTGACGTGACATATGGGACTTTATTATTTTTGTTGTTACTATATAAACAAGTCATCGTTATAATTATTACTATTATTATTTGGTGCTGGGTGCTATATTTCAATTAAGATTGTCTTAAACTACGGGTGCTTTCGGTTTGCTAGCAGTACATTATACTCTTGTCCCTCGATGATGCAGCTATTTTTCAGGCCATCTCCATCTAAAATTTACAAGAGGATTAGTGTTGTTTAAATCTTTCATTAGTGTACTACTGACTATGAGATATATAAATTGATCAATATTTGACGAGTACAACTGTAATTTATAAAGTGATAATAACAGTCATCAATTATTACTCCTAATTCACTTTAATAGCAAACTATGAATAGGTACATGGTCAAGCATGCTCTTAAACTTACTTGTGATATAGATAAAGAATGCCTAAATCTCATATCTGAATGAACTTGAAGAAGATTTCTATTGTAGTGTAGTTATTTGCTTTCTTGATGCAAACATATATTGGTAGGATGGAATTTCTTCTCTTTCGTGACTTTCTTGTGCAACAGTGCTGATGCTTGCCGTCAACTGATAGTCTGTGATATAGAAATCCTCATAAGATTGTGTTGACTTGTACGGGGATCGCCACTGTGTCTCTATTTCCCAAGTCTTTCCTATTAATATATAATTAAATTTATTAGTATATAGTAAATCTATTAGGACGACTGAATTAAGTGAAAGACTGACGATTGAATATTTATATTGTTTCTATTCATAAATTATACAATGTCTATATGACATACAGGTATTAGAAGAACATAGGAGTTCTTATTCCGTTATATGAAATTACATAAATATAATCATAGACATTTAATGTGGGAAATGATTATTTGAACATGAATAGTTTGAGTGTCAATCGACAACGATAAATCTTTGGTGCTTTATGATATTTCAAAATAAGTAGTGAATAAATAACACTGTAATTATAAATAATAATTATTAATAGTATTTAGTAAATGCTATTCAACAATCAGTGTGTAATTGAACATTTGAAAATGCGAATAATATCTATCGGATAATAATAGGCTGATAATATTTAAGTAAAATATCTAACACTTAATAAGTAGTTGAAAAGAAACTTTTCCTTACTGATGATCTCCATACTTGTGATAATATTGGAACCTGTTGCAAATCACAGATAACCTTGATCCTGTGAAGAGTACTCCTCATTGGACTATACGAATTTATACAAAGGCTGTTACTGAAATATAAGATATAACAAATTTAATTAAATTGAGTGGGAATTGGACAATTAATTAAATTGGTTCTTATAGGATATATAGTATTATATAATTATAGATATTAGTAAAGTGATTAGTAAGTAGTGAATTATTTAATTAATTCATAGTTAATTTAAGTGATTAATTTGCCCACCTGAGATAGTATATGGAAATATTGTCTATTAAATACTACAGTAGGTTTGTTGAAAGTTTTCAATAATCTGTGAACTTATATCAGGATTATTATTGATATTTAACAATAATTAAATTAATTGAGTAATAACAGTGAATTATATAATCTTGATATTTATGATTTATTAAATGGAATGTGAATTTATATATTGAAGAATGGAAATACTATCCGTTGAATAATAATAATTATGGATGTCTTGATCCTGTGTAGAGTGAAGCCTACATTGGCTTGTGTGAAATCACGTGAAGACTGCCGCTGAGTGTGGTTGTGATCTTCTCAAGCCTTTTCCTAATATTAACAAATTGCCAAAGTAGAATCAATATTTAATCAATATTAATACTTAAATAACCTACTCATATATAATCGTCTTGAGCATGAATCTAAATTGAACAACTGTGAGGTCTGCATATTCTGCGTAATTTTGACACTAATGTATATTTAAAGTCAGTATTAATATCTATATTAATCAAATAAATTATTAGCTCATTGATATGAAATCCTGAGTTAAAACTGATAATTATACCAAAGCGGTGTCTTACATAACATTAGGTTGTGTATAGTGTATAAGTCTCAATATTGGAGAATAGAAATATCATCAAATAAACGTAGGTTTATAGTATTTTTATATATGATATACCTGATAAGTAGGTGAATAGGAAACTCTCGTTGTTAATGATCTCTATATGCTCATTATGGTATTGTTGTGGTGATAGAGTCCTAGATATTATCTGATCCTGTGAAGAATTGGCAACCTTTACTGGTCTGCGTGAACTTGAATCAAGCTTGTACCTTAGTACGGTTTTTCTTCTCAAACTTTTCCTAACATTGATAAGTAATCAAATTAGGACTAATAGAAATTGATAATAATTACTTAAAAGTAGGTTTAACAGTATATTTGATTAGAGTGAAAAAAAGAAAAAAAAATTTAATAAGTAAACAATGATGCTGCTTTCTGATTTTATAAAATTATAAGTAGTGAATAGATTATAATTATCAATATATAATCAGCAAATTACAGTCTTATACATTTAACTGATAATTTAAGTTAATGTGTGTATATATAATACTTGAAATAGGAAATGTTACTTAATGAACAATTATAGGTATATAGTGTCTAATTAAGTTCATTAACAAGACTCGATAAGTATTAGGATGGAATTCTTTACTTTGATTTTCTTCATGTAAGGCTGATTCCTCTTGTCATCTGAAAAGAAGACCATTTGGAACTCTCGCCTGGCAGTGTTGACTTTTATGAAGATTGTCAATGTTTTTGACTCTTCAAGATTTATCTGAAAATAACATACAATAAGTTATTAAAATATAATAAATATTAACCAGATTGAATAGTAAACTGCTATTAAATAATTGTAGTAACTGACATATTATAGTTTTGTAGTGTTCAAATTGTATAATAGATATCAATAATCTTATTAGGATAAATAATATAAGTGGAAAATTCCAATATACATTTTGGTGCTTCTATGATCTATAGTTACGGAATCAAGAATGTTATTCTCCGTACAAGTATAGATTTATAATGTTTATACATTATAATACCTTATAAGTAATTGTGGATATAACTTTTCCATGATTCGTGAAGACTATTAAGAATTCTTCCTGGTCTGCAGGCATTTACATGAGTAACGCTGCCGAACATGGCCTTGATTCCCAATCTTTATGACTATAATAAAAATCAAAACCAGAATTAATAAATAATTAAATAATTAATTAAGATTAATTTGCTAAATAATTAACTTATTATAATTAATTCGAGTGAAACTTACTAAGTAAATAATCGTACTGTTCCTTATTATAATATAAGTGATATAACGATGCGTGAAATGTGTCTACTTAACAATTGTGAATGGAATGTTCCTCGATACAAGTTGCTCCTGACTGGGGAAACTGTTACGGATGCTGTTGAGTGCTGCTAACCAGAATATGCTCAAGAAAACTCCTCTAGGACTGACTGGAGATTAGCTGTTGATGTGCACCTACTGAAAGATAAGTGGCATAAATTATGAATTTTTCAATTTACCCTGCGTAACATCATTTTGACTAGGGCTTTTAAAACTATAGCCTAATTTAACTGAAATATAGGTTATAATAATTTGAAATCATTAATTGACAATATAAAGCAAATGAATTCAGTTAATACGCTCACTATAAATTTATAAACGGTGATAGACTAATAAGATATCAAATCATATAAAATAATCAATGCTAATTCACTTACGTCGTGTTCTGCTTTGTGAATAACTTTGAGACGTGATTCACCTGAGTATTGAAGATAATAACTGGGATTTATCCTGGGATTTATCCTTACACTAAAGCTGCGATGACTTATACTGCCTCCGTGACATGATAGAATGGTACCTTAACAGCGAGAAATTCTTAAAACACATATGCTTAATAATAACAACATAATTATAATACGTATCTAAGCTGCACTGTGATTTGATTATAGAACTTGATAATTGACAGATATTTATTGAAAGGTTACCTTGTGTAGGCCGTTTCATATGCATTTTGTACATGACTTTGATATGTTGCTGTATGATTCCCTCTTTGAGGCTATTGTGCTCTTGTTAGTTGAATGGGATGCTTTCCTGGCCATTGCATCTCTGATATTCAATATATTATGATGGAATTTACAGTGCAGTGTTGCTAATATAACTAGAATTAATTTAACTTTGTATGATACACATATACTTGAACCTTGGTTGTTATTATTAATAATACTTGCAATTAAGTTGTATTACCCTGTATTACACTTGTTGTACATTTAGTATAACATAAATTACCTAAATGTATGTCTCTTGGGTCGTTGCGTTGCCCAGGTGACATTTCACACTATTGAGGTTATAATCTCTCTCTCCGAGTTTGTTTTCCTCTCTCGGGAATAATAAAGCGGCAAATGTAGCATTCATCATCCACACCTTTCATTTACACTCTACACTTTTATTACACCTTACACTTTTCACTGCACTTTTACACTTTTTACATCTTTATACATTTGTAATAACTTCAATTCATTAATTAACATAATGTTTTTAAGAAAAATCAATATTTCCATAACAACACATTCATTCATTTATTTGTTATATATTAATTCTTTTTGTCTTTCGCTTTATACTTTCAATGAACAAACATTACTTTCTTAAAAGATCTGGTGAATTTATTCATAAGTCGCTACATTTTTGGTGACCCCGACGTGATATTAAAGCCGACGCATTTTAAAAGCTGATGCGGAATAAGTGTCAAGTGATCGTCGTATTTGACGTCTGCGAAATATTATCATCGCTTGGAGGAATTGCTGGATATTCTGATTTTAAGAGATTCATTCTCCGGATCTTTGAAACATTAGAGGCGGATTAGTCCTTCACGGAAATTCTCAAATCATTTTATCGGATTCCTGGAACAAGAGGAAAATGCCAATCGATAGATCACCAGTTAGACTCTGTACGGATACACAGATTGATATGGATTTGGCGAGCGGATCAAATCAGGTTGGATCAGATAATATTAATATTTTACCTTCTCAAACTGGACATCAGGTGAGTGATCCTATGTTACAAATTCACTCAAATGAGTTTCATTTATTAAAACTACCGACTTTCTGGCATAAGCAACCTAAACTCTGGTTTGCTTCTATTGAAAGTGAGTTTACGGTTTATCGAATTCGATCAGATGATATTAAATATAGTTCTGTCATTCGTCATCTTGATGAACAAGCCTTAATAAACATATCTGAAGTCATTGAAAATCCACCTGAAACAGATAAATATAATTATTTAAAGAAAATATTAATAAATCGCTTTACGGATTCAGAGGAAAAACGTTTGAGACAAATATTAGCTGGAATTGAACTTAATGATAAAAAGCCTTCGGAATTACTTCGAGAAATTCGTCATTTGTCTGGAGGATCTTTAGCGGATAGTGTTTTGCAAATGATTTGGCTTCAACGCTTACCACATAGAATTCAAACGACTTTAGCCGTAGTAGAAGATGTTCCTCTTATTAAACTTGCGGAATTAGCCGATAAAATTGCTGATCGGGACGGCGGTTTGCAAGTCGCGGAAGTTTCCAATAATGCAAATAATAAATCTTTGGATTTTGCGGATTTATTACGAAGAATCGAAGCTCTTGAAGTTTCTCGTCGTCGAGATCGTTCCAAAAGCCGGTCTAGAGAAAATAGAAGATTTAGATCGTTATCGCGTAACAAAGACAAATCAAATAAAGATATTAAAGATACATCAATTTGCTTTTACCATAAGAAGTTTGGTGATAAAGCTAAACGATGTACTTTACCTTGTTCTATGTCCAAAACATTCTTGGCTTCACAGGAAAACTAAAAACGCCGTTTAAGACTGAAGCTGCTTACGACGGTGTTTCTAACAATCGCCTCATTATTTTCGACAGACATTCAAATTTGAATTTTCTTGTCGATACGGGCGCTGATACATCGTTGTTACCTAAAAGAGTTTTATTGAAGCCGTGGCATACTAATTTAAAACTTTTTGCCGCAAATGGTACTCAAATTAGTACTTACGGTTCTAAAACTTTAATTTTGAACCTCGGTCTTAGGAGAGAATTCAAATGGAAATTTTGTGTCGCGGATATTCAACGTCCTATTTTAGGCGCCGATTTCCTTTGTCATTTTAATCTCCTGATTGACATTAAAAACAAGAAATTGATTGATAACGTTACCGGTCTTATGAATACTGGAAAAATTCAAGAAGTTGCGCATTTGTCAATTTTTACCACATCTCCTGATTCTGTGTACCATAAATTTTTAACCGAATTTCCAGGACTCACCCGTTTTTCTCCAATTTCCTCGGTAAAAACACATGGTGTTGAACATCATATCGTTACGGAAGGTTCTCCTAAATTTTCGACTCCCAGAAGACTTACTCCTGAGAAACTTAAATGTGCCAAGGAAGAATTCAAGTCTATGTTGGAGCAAGGAATTTGCAGGCCTTCAAGCAGCTCCTGGGCAGCCCCTCTACATATGGTACCTAAAAAGGAACAAAATTCTTGGAGACTGTGTGGTGATTATCGTGCACTCAATTCAGTGACTATCCCGGATCGTTATCCCTTACCTCATATTCAAGATTTTTCTTCTTCACTTTTTGGTAAGAATATCTTTTCTAAAATCGACTTAGTTAAAGCGTACTATCAAGTACCCGTCGCTAAAGAAGATATTCACAAAACAGCTGTCACTACTCCATTTGGGCTTTTTGAATTTGTCGTAATGCCTTTCGGTTTACGAAACGCAGCCCAAACTTTTCAACGGCTCATGAACTCTTTACTTAATGATTTGAGTTTTGCCTTTTGTTATCTTGATGACATTCTTATTGCTTCTAAAGATGAGAAAGAACATATTGCTCACTTACGCATTATTTTTGATCGTCTTCAACAAGCTGGAATGACAATCAATGTCGCTAAATGTCTTTTCGGTCAAAGCGAGATTTCTTTTCTTGGTTACTTAGTTTCTAACCAAGGAGTTAAACCTACATCCGAAAAAGTGAAATCAATTATTGATTATCCTAAACCTAAGACACTTCATGAATTACGCAGATTCTTAGGAATTATCAATTATTATCGTCGCTGTCTCAAGGATGCTGCAAATCATCAAGCTCTGTTAACAGAATATTTAAAGGACAGTCGCAAGAGGGATAGAAGAATTATTTCTTGGACTAAAGAAGCGGAATTAGCTTTCGAGTCATGTAAAGAAGAACTTTTACAAGTTACTACCCTTTCTCATCCTGCTCCTCATGCTCCTCTTATTTTAACTTGTGATGCTTCTGACTTTGCTGTTGGTGCATCACTTGAACAGTCTATTGACGACGATATCAAACCAATAGCATTTTTCTCAAAGAAACTAGACAAAGCTCAAAGAAATTATAGCACTTATGATAGAGAACTTCTTAGCATTTATTTGGCTATTAAACATTTCAGGCATTTTGTTGAAGGAAGACAATTGATTATCAGAACTGATCATAAACCTTTGATTTTTGCTTTCCGTCAGAAATTGGATAAAGCGTCACCAAGACAGATCAGACAATTGGACTTTATTGCTCAATTCTCTACAAATATTACCTATATTTCTGGAAAAATGAATTCAGTTGCTGATGCTCTGTCAAGAATTGAATCTATTTCAATGCCTATTATAGTTTCTTTAGAAGAACTTGCTAATTATCAGAAAGAAGATGAAGAACTTCAAGTTTTACTTTCTTCAAATTCTTCACTTCTGTTGAAGAAACTTATTCTTTCAGGATCAACCATACCTATTTATTGTGATTGCTCTTCGGAATTAATTCGTCCATATGTTCCTAAACTCTTACGCAAGAGAATTTTTGATGTTGTTCATGGACTCGCTCACCCCAGCGGCAGATTGACATCTAAACAATTACTACTGAAATTCATTTGGCCTTCTTTGAAGAAAGATGTGAAGGAATGGACTCGAACTTGTCTTCCATGTCAACGTGCGAAGATTTCAAGACACACCAAGAATTCTCCAATTAAGATTGCAATTCCTGATCAACGCTTTCAGCATGTGCATTTAGACATTGTTGGACCACTTCCTATTTGTCAAAATTACCGTTATTGTCTTACTATGATTGATCGTTTTTCCAGATGGCCTGAAGCTGTTCCTATTTCTGAGATTTCTGCTGAAACTATTTCTACAACATTTTATTCACATTGGGTAGCACGTTTTGGTTCTCCTATCAGCATTACAACAGATCAAGGTCCTCAGTTTGAAGCAGCTTTATTCAAAGCTTTAACAAACCTAATTGGATGCCAAAGGATTAGAACTTCTGCTTATCATCCTGCTTCAAATGGAATTCTGGAAAGATGGCATAGGACTTTGAAAGCAGCGATTATGTGCCACGAAACGACCAACTGGGTAGAATCTTTACCTTCAGTTCTTTTGGGATTACGTTCGTGTTTCAAAGAAGATTTAAAAGCTTCACCTGCAGAACTTCTTTATGGATCCACTCTTCGTATTCCTGGAGAATTTTTCATTGAAGAAGATTTTCCTGCAGATCCTGAAATCTTTCTTGAAAAACACAGGATTCATATGAGGAATATCAGATCATCTCCTACAAGTCATCATTGCAAAAGATCACCTTTTGTTCACAAGAATCTTTTTGATTGTACTCATGTTTGGATTCGAGAAGATACTGTTAGGAAGTCACTACAACCTCCTTATTCTGGCCCTTTTCCTATTGAGAAACGTATCTCTGATCATTTATTTGCAGTTAATGTTTCAGGAAGAGTTGTCAATATTTCGACAGAACGTCTCAAGCCAGCCTTCATTCCTAGAACTTCAGATTCTACTGAACTTTCTACCAGATCTTCAGCTCCTGTTCCTGCTATTTCAACTCCTGTTCCTGCTACTTCAGCTCCTGTTCCTGCTACTTCAGCTCCTGTTTCTGCTACTTCAAATCCTTCTTCTTCTTCTACTGTTGGAAAAGCTTTACGCACCTACCCACCAAAGAAGAAGAAAGTTCATTTCGCAACGAATATCGTCACTTGGGGGGGAGTACTGTAGCATTCATCATCCACACCTTTCATTTACACTCTACACTTTCATTACACCTTACACTTTTCACTGCACTTTTACACTTTTTACATCTTTATACATTTGTAATAACTTCAATTCATTAATATACATAATGTTTTTAAGAAAAATCAATATTTCCATAACAACACATTCATTCATTTATTTGTTACATATTAATTCTTTTTGTTCTTTCGCTTTATACTTTCAATGAATAAACATTACTTTTTCAAAGATCTGGTGAATTTATTTATAAGTCGCTACACAAAAGGACATTGATGCGCCATCTATTGCATTGCGCGTGTACTCCGTACCCAAAGTTGAACAGTCATTGACTATGATATAGATGCGTAACTTGGTATGCCTTATGTGTTTTGCCAGGTTAC